GCCTGCCTCAGCCCTGCCTGCCCCAGCCCTGCCTCAGCCCTGCCTCAGCCCTGCCTGCCTCAGCCCTGCCTGCCCCAGCCCTGCCTCAGCCCTGCCTGCCCCAGCCCTGCCTCAGCCCTGCCTCAGCCCTGCCTGCCTCAACCCTGCCTTTCCAGCTCCCGGCCCTCACCACTCAGGATTGCCATTAATATAGCGCCATTATTTCTTCTTCTGATCTCCAGCACCCCTTGCTCTTCCTTACTTGCGATTCATATTCGCCTATAAGTAATATGCTTTTTTTATAACTGGTCGTCCCAAGTGATTGCGGTGAATTAAAACTATCTTTTGAGTGCTGCGAACTGATTGCTGTTGCTAAGTATTTCGGTGAGGTTTGAGAGCTGAAGGCTGTTGTTGTTTGTACATGGAAACTGGGTTTGGATACTACAAAACTTGTATTAAAAAGACAAAAATCCAGTCTCCTTTTTGGGGAAATGACAAAGAAGTTGGAGCAAAAGCAAGCCAAATGAGAAATCAGAACATCTAAAAGGTAAAACCCTTCTTTTTGGCAGGGAGATGAAACACCCTACCCAGAGAGCAAAGCCCAACAGGAGAAGAGCAGCCTAGGTTTTCTGCCCCTGCTTTGACACACTTGCCCTCCAGGAGCTATCCTGTGCATGGTGTGGAAGATCACTCCTCCGGAGCTGCATGTTCATCAGCTGTTGGGCAGAGCCTATGGAAAACCTGTCAGATAGGTTTCCATCACACCTGGACTGGAATGAGTGTAGTGTGATCCAGCCGCCCAGAGGTACAAAGAATCCCTTCAGCTTTCTGTCTCCCAATGACTGTTGCTCCTAATGCAAACCTCCTAGGAAAGTCAATTTTGTATGTAGATTAAATACACAGATGAAATAGGCTCCAGCCAGCTGCATAGCACACCCCACCTGGTGAAGCTGGAGCTGCAGCAGCTGCACATGTCCCGGGGACTAAGAGCCTAGGATGGGAATACACTATCCACCTAACTGGTTGATGGATTCCCCAACCTTGAACACTTTTAAAATGCAGCTGAACAGGGTGGTGAGCCATCTTGTCTAGACTGTGCTTTTGCCAAGAAAGGTTGGACCAGAAGATCCTTGAGGTCCCTTCAAACCTAGTATTCTGTCATTCTGTGATTATCAGAGAGGCCTTTGAAGCTGTAACTCTCCTTGCACATTGTTGACCAATACAATGAAACAGCAGGGGAATAGAAGCCCAAAACTTTGTGGTTTAAACCATCCAGATACCCATTGGTGATCACGACCACCACTGGTTCTAGTGAACTCCACAAAGATCTTCCACATCCATCTGGCCCTGGCACTTCCCAGAAGGACTGGAGGGATACACTCCAGTGCAAAGTCATGAGCTTTCTCTTGGTGTTAAAACCAGAGTTGTGAATCTACTGCCTTGACCATCAAGGACCTGAAGGCATCCATGAACCTGAACGGCCCTGACCAGCCTTGCCTGAGGCCTCCATCTGTGACTCCCTGGGCACAAACTGAAGCTCAGCCCTGGGCCTGTGGTCCCTCCTGCCATGGCTCAGCCACATCCATGCTTCTGCTTGGACACAGATGTGATGAGCCAGACCTTGTCAGCGACTGACTTGGTGGTGACCCTGAGCTGCACGCTGGATTCTGGCTTCACCTTGGACCTACCTTGTGACTATCTCACCACCTCAAGGGCTGAGCTGCAGCTTTGGCTGGTGAGGCCCCTCTCCTGTCCTCAGCTCCTCATCCCATAGGATGATCCCTTGCTACTCCCTGACAGAGAAGGTGCAGCTGGCTAAGGCCAGCAGACTTCAAGAAGTGAAGTTTTCTAATGCATTGCACAATCTTGTCTAGGCCTTCACCCTTTTTGGCCTTTTATATATGTATATACATATATGGTGAAAAGGGTATTTCACCTAGCTGAAGGATGTCTTCAACCTATGCATTGGGTTCTAGCACAAAAGGGGGACTCCCAAATGTTTAGAGCTGTGGCTGAGGCATAGGCAACAAGGCTTCTGTTCCTGCCTTCTCCACAGACTTGCTCTGTCATCATAAGCTAGCATTTTCTCCAGCCATGACTACACACAGCTACCGATACAGGAGCCATTGGTCAAGCTGCAAAGAAAATCAAAACCTTGGCACTCTGCCTGGCTTGGATCTGTTCATCATTCTGCTACAAGCCCTTTCAAATTGTCACTGTTGCAGGTGGTGCCAAAGTCCTTTCAGGAGGGACACAGGGCCTACTCAGCTGCACTGTGTTGGTTAGTGATCAGATACACAGAACTAGCTGGGTGAGTCACATTGGTTTTCAGCCATCCACTGCAGTAAAGATGTGATCAGTCCTGCTTAGAATGCAGCCCAGTGTTTTTTAGTTCCTGTCATGTGCAATTCTGCATCTACCTGCATGCTATGCAGCATAGTAGTGGAAGGAGTCTGGAAGGGGAGGCAGTTCACCCACACCCTGTTTGTCCTGCGAAGCCATGCTCTTGAATTGTGGAGTCACTCCAGTGCTCTTCAGATGTAGCCCTTCATTGCTCTGTGTTTCATTTCCTTATCTTCAGGAAAAGTTACAAACACCTTTCCTCTTTAAAGGATAATGCAAAGAGCATGAGCTGTTTGAATACAGCAAGGATGGAGGTTAAATGTTAAATGTCCATGTTAAGAAGAGAAGATTAAAGAGCTTTCACATCTGTGTGAAGTTTGAGCTGCTTCAGCCTAACACAAAGGAATTCAGACAAATTGTGGGGAAGAACATGGGAAAAGCTCCCAGAAACATGCTTGAAACTTTTCCCCCCTTTCACACACATTTGCAGCATGACATGGCCTTGCCCCAGAGCAGCAGGCTTCTCTGGTCATGTTTACAGAACAACTTTCTCAATTCATTTTCAGAAGGAACAGTGTGTTTTTCTCAGTGCAAAGAATTATGGGGATTCTCACTCTCAAACATTGAGTTAAAGCTACAAGGGGGAAAATGAACAACAGAGTTTTTCTTGACCTGAGATATTTCAAATCCATGCCCTTTGCTTTTTGTAGTTTGTCAGATACTCTCATTTAAAAGTATCCTATTTACTCTGCACTGAAAGTGATAGCCCATATGAATCACTTGAATCACAAGAAATAGGCACATATAGTTTTATAGGCTATAAAGACAGAAAGTGGTTTGTCCTACAAAAAACAAACAAACAAAAAACCCAAACCAAACAAAAACAAAACCAAACCAAAACCAAACCCAAGCACAGAACTGGAAGTAGTTTGTCATGTGAAATGGAACAGAATTTAGCATGCACACAAATAACAGACTTTGCCTATTTAACTCCAAGTGATCGTGTAATGGGCAAACTACAGTATCTGACTTCAATCAGTAATGATTTAGAATCATAGAATCATTAAGGTTGGAAAAGACCTTTAAGCTTATCAAGTCCAACTGTCAGCCCTACACATCCGTGACCAATTAACCATCTCCTGAAACACCACATCACCTCCAGCGTCACTGCCTCCACCACCTCCTTGGGCAGCCTGTTCCAATGCCTCACTACTCTTTCTGTGAAGAAATTTTTTTTCCTGGTGTGCAATCTGGACCTCCGCTGGCACAACTTGACCCCATTTCCTCTTGTGCTATCACTAGTCACTAGGGAGAAGAAGCCAACACCCACCTCACTACAACTTCCTTTCAGGTAGATGTAGAGTACAATGAGGTCTCCCCTCAGCCTCCTCTTCTCCAGGCTGAACAGCCCCAGCTCCCTCAACCTCTCCTCCACAGAACATGTTCTCCAGACCCCTAATCAGACTAGCTGCCCTTCTCTGCACTCTCTCCAGCACCTCAGTGTCCTTCCAATACTGTGGTGCCCAGAACTGCACACAGTATTCAAAATGCAACCTCACCAAGGCTGAGTAGAAGGTCAGGATCAATTCCCTGGTCAGAGGATCTTGTCACAGTATTCCTGTACTTAAGGAATGGCTACATAAAGGACAGAGGCTCTTTTTTACATGGAGAAGTCAAGGGACAATGTGTACAGGTTGCACTGGAAGATGTTTCATCTCAACATAAAAAATAATTTTTTTACAATGAAAAGAATAAATCAC